CATGGACTATTTTTAACGATGTCCTTGCTACTTTTCTCGGCTTTGAATGTGTCAGTTGCATTGCTGTCTATGCAGGGTCAGAAAACTCTGATTTCATCAAAAATATCTTAATTTGCGTTCCGAAGATGAACGAAGGTCTTACAAATTTGGAACAACGTGACGGTGAGTAATTAATGACAGGATTTTCATTTTTGGGTGAACTAGCCCTTTAATTTGCCTCAACAAATCACCCGACTAACCAGCGGACCAATAATTATTGAATTTTGCCTGCATGCTCTGAGGCGCAAGGAATTTATTATATAGGAAAAATAGTGACAATGGCTTCCCCGGTTGCAACAACTTCTATTTTTATTATTGATACTTTGCGCCTATGCAACTTTGGAAGGAAGCATAACTAAAATTGTATGGCTTGAAAAGACTTGGAATATAGTGCATATGGAAAACAGATGTGTAAACATTCTGCCTGTCATCCCATTCCTTCATGTTGGGTTTGGAACGACATGAGGATGAGTAAATGATGACAAAAGATTGATAATATGCTGAAAGACCACAAAGCATGAAAAATCAAACATGAGTTGTATTGGATCTTGATTATTCATAAGAACGCCTTCACTTCCTGTGCCTGTGGTATCCCCAATGGACTGCATCATCAGATGACCTAATGAACTTCATATTTCCAGAGATACGCACCACAGGGTAAAGACTTCTTGCTGCTTGTGAATCACTGGGATCCACTCCTGGGAAAGGTGCAGGATCCAGCATAGCTGTGTTGAATACTTTACCTTGGGAAATAACTGAAGTCATATCACTGCCAGCAGAGGACACTCAAACAAGATTAGGTACTTCCCACAGACAAAATATAACATTGTTCAAATGACCTTATTTTCGGTCAACCTCAAAGATATCTCCTACTCCTATCTAATAATAGGGTAAGATTTCATTAAAGTAGAGAAAGGCTCTTTGAACCACATCCCCTATTATGGTCCCTACCTGTTTCCTGCAGCCTTGGTGAAAGTACCTAGCGTGGGCGTAGCTCAAGTCACAGAGACGGCAAAGCCTAAGGACTCTTGTTTCTGTCACAATGAAGGTACTTGATTCCCTTGGAAATATTCCATGTTTTTCTTCAGCCCACACATTTTCGTCATTCTGTGGGTTCTCTGTGTGATACAGGTAGATGGGACTATTATTATGGAGAATGGTCTTTCGAAGGCCACGATAGACCAAACGGGTCGTTTGATGTCTCTGCTTTTGCTTCAACAGGTGAATCATAATGTAGGGCCTTCAAGAAAAGTGCAAAATCTTATAAGGTTGTTCACAGTACGTACTGCAAGAAACTATGTTATGACTCCAGGGAAACCATTTCTGAGGGTCACCTCGGGAACCAGTTTGCATTGTTTGATGATGTGCCTCTGTATTGGGATGCCTGGGATGTGATGGACTACCACCTTCAGACAAGGTGAGCCTGTTTCTTGTCACTGCAGGTGGGATCAGATTCTGATCCAGTATGAATCCAGCTTTGAACTCTGTATGAACCCAAGTTAATGTCACAATCTTAATGGCAATAACTCTTCTTTCCCAGGAAGCCTGTAATTGAGGTCATTGAGCCCGCCAAGGTGGTGAGATCAGGGACACATCAGGGCAGCGTCTCCTTCTCGCTAAGGATTAGCGGAAAAAGCACTATTAGACAGGAGATTGTTCTGGATGCTTGTTGCCCCTATGTCAAATTCAAATCTTGATGGCAATAACTCTACTTTCCTAGAAAGCCTGCAGTTGAGGTCATTGAGCCTGCCAAAGTGGTCAGATCATGGGGACTTCAGGGCAGCGTCTCCTTCTCGCTAAGAATTAGTGGAAAAAGCACTATTAAACAGGAGATTCTTCTGGATGCTTGCTGCCCCTATATCAAATTCAACACGCAGGTAGCTAAGATTGTCATCTTATGCTTGATATTTAATCAACCGATTGCTCAAGAAACTTGGTGAAGCATAATGGATATCTTGTTTCCAGGTGGACTGGGAAGAGTCACATAAGTTTCTGAAGGTGGAGTTCCCTGTGCAGGTGCGCAGCCCAAATGCTTCTTATGAGATCCACTTTGGAAACTTGCAGAGGCCCACTCATAGAAACACATCCTGGGACTGGGCTCGCTTTGAGGTAGTGTGTACTTGGTTTAATCCTTTTTAAACAAATTTCACCCTCAATCCATGCAGTTCTTGTCAAGAGTCCACTCCGTAGTAGTAGTCGAGTTATAGTCTACTGTGACCTCACCAACCCAGCAAACATGCCTCTTTGGGGCCCGTGTGGGCCCACTGCATGCAGAGAATTGAGCCACATGCATGCAGCGTGCTGTGGGCCCCGATACCGGCATGAAATACAGGGCATGTGTGGGCCCCACACTGTGGTGCATGGGTGGGGCCTGAGTGGCACAGCCCAAAGTAGGGGCTGAGTGTGGGCTGGCCCACACAAAACAGAGTCAATAGACTTTGGTTCCCAACACCCCCGTGTGCTGAACACTGCAGTTTCTCCCATGGGTTTCTCAGCCATGTGTCCTCCTTATAACATCTGTGGTTTTATGTTCTTTTGGAAAACCTTACATAATGTATGAATTTATGCTTTATTTAATAGGTGTGGGGACACAAATGGGCTGATCTGTCTGAGCATGGCTTTGGCGTGGCTCTTCTTAATGACTCCAAATATGGTTACTTGATCCATGAAAACATCATGACCTTGTCCCTGTAAGCTACCCACACAGAATGAACAAACACAGCAGTATCTTTCAAACACAACTACAGACAGGTCATTAAAATGTGTTGTTTTGGCTAACATCACCTTTTTTTCTACAGATTGCATGCTCCAAAAGCACCAGATGCCAATGCAGATATGGGTAGTCATAATTTTACCTATGCCTTGATGCCACACACAGGTTGGTACATCTTCTTGAATCTAAAAACCATTATAAATAATTTTCAGACAACCATGAATAAAACCAATGCATGTGAAAAGTCCTCTTCCAGGATGCTTCGGTTATCCAGTACGCCTACAACCTGAACTTCCCTCTCCACGTCTTTCATGGCATCATTGCTGAACCCTGGAATGCATTCACTGTACACTGTCCTGCTGTCATCCTGGAGACCATAAAACAGAAATGTCCCGTCTGTGAAACGTCCCGTCTGTACGGAAGTTCTAAGCGGCCATGCATTAATTTTTTTTTCCTTCTTGTTTTCTCGTTATAACGACTTAATTTTCTCGTTATATCGACATAACAAGAGTTGTTTTCTCGTTATAACGACTTAATTTTCTCGTTATATCGACAAAGATTTTGTTTTTTTTGTACAATGATTGTTTGATCTACTGTTGTTATAGTAAC